ATATGGCCTGTAAATGATCTGTATTTAATATAGAATCGTCAAGAGTCCTAGAACCCCCCCCAAGGCGCTTTACAACATTCACCCTTGCAAACACACATTCACACTCTAGTGGGGGTAAGCTACAATGTAGCCACAGCTTCCCTGGGGTGCACAGACAGAGGCAGGGCTGCCAAAGACATGACCCACTGGTCCCTATGACCACCACCAGCAGGCAAGGGGGGTGGAGTGTCTTGCCCAAAGGCACAATGGGAGCAACAGACTTAGCAGGGCTTCAACCTGCAACCTTCTGATCTGGACAGACGCCTCAGCCACTGTCACCTGCTCCACTCACATTAAGGTGAAGGAATTGGTGGCACAAAAGGTGTTTTTAGGCATATTAGTTAGCTGATCTCATTATGATCACATGGATGAAGACAGGTAGAAAATGTTGCATCACCATAAAACCTTTAGAACTAGAAACAAGAGACTAAAAACTTCTACTATTTTAGAGAATTCACAAAAATGTCTATAGAAATATAGACAATGCCTCTGCAGAAAACTACCAGAGGATTTTCCATCAGGTGCATAGAAATGATCCATTTAAAAAAAAATAAAGATACTTTACTACAGAGTTATGAAAAGGAAAAGAAGAATATTCCTTAAGAATCTTTTTCTCCTGTTTTTTTTAAGTGTAGTTCACTTGTTTAATCAATACACTTGCAGTGGTCTGGTAGGAATCAATGCCTTGCAAGCCGTACTTAGGGCAAAAAAAAAAGAAGCTCAGAAATGCCTGGATCAGCACCAACCAGTCTGTTGCTGCAGAGTGGCAGAACATGGCAGGATTTAGAGTCTTATTTCCTGATATTTGGACGTCTCGTCTTGGATTGGATAACAGCAACACAACTCTACCTCTGTCTCTGTTTGCTTTGCAATGTTGATGTTTCATCCCCACAAATAAAATAAGCCTGGAGGATTTCTGCTGTGTGGTGAAGTTGCTAATGTTAATGGTTAGCTTCTACTAGCTGAGACATTGTCTGCTGTTTCCTGGACGCTTAACCAACGATAAACTTCCCTGTCTCAAGTCCAGATGGGTGAGCCCCTGAGTGTGTCATGTTGACATGTTGAAACGTGTTCAAACAGAATCTGCATGAAACACACACAAAAAAATAAAAAAAATGCAGGCTTGACCTCACTAGAAATGTAATACCGTAACCATTAATCAGCCATTAACACTATTGTTTCTCTTTACAGTCAGCTGAGACTCAGTCATATCTTTGCTTGGATTCATTAAAGAGAAAAAAAATTATTGTCAGTCCTAAATATGACTCGTAACCTCCTTCATGTCTTCAAGTTTTCAATAAATCAGCCAAGCCAGAATTAGATTAAAAAAAACAGTACAGGTAAATATGTCTGATTTTGCTAAGCAAGTAAAGAACACTGAAATCTAAAGTTTTACACTGTTTCTGGCCTTTAAATGGTCAACCATTAATCAGAACAAATTCACTGCCACATAACAGAACTGTGGTTTTAATCCCAATTTACTCTAGAGATTTCAAGCTTTCTAATATAAAAAACTATGCTATTTTAAATCGGTGCTTCCAAGTTTTGCAGCTATCTTTTCCCACTCAGTCTCTAATGCTTTCTAAAAGGAGCACCCCCTCGTTCTCAGTCATACTGAGTCATAGGATGAGTTACAAACCATCAAACATTGATCAACGCCAGCTCCTTTTGTTCAACTTTCAGAACTTCTTTGACGTAATTAAATGTGAAAAACAGTCATCTATAATTCACGGTCCTAATGACTGTAACTCACTCAGCTATATGATTATTTTATGAATTCTATTATTAGATGATTGTTCTTTCTGTAGTTTAATCACAATTTAGATCAAAGGTTTTATCTTATTTTTTATCACCTGTTCAGCTGCTAATCAACAACTTCCTGTTCCAGCTGATTAGGAGTGTGTTTGTTTTGGTTTCTTCTGTCACTTTCTCTCCATTTCTCTTGCGGTTGTGAGGATGTGTTATGTAATTTAGCCTCCTATACCAGGGTACCTTTTAGCTTCACCACACTGAAGTGCCACTAAGCTTCCTGAATCTGCCCTTATTAGCCCCACGAGCCCTCTGAGACCAGCACAGTCATTTGTTTCATTGGTATTTTTCACTAAATACTTGTGGTTGTGAAGTGAACTCATGCATGTAAGGGGAAAATTGTAAGATAGCATTTTGTTTCTGAAAGAAAAATAACTTTAAAAACACATTTATCAATATTTGCTGAATGGAACAAACCTTTTAAAATGTGTGTTTATAATTATTTTCTTTTTAGTTTTTCTAAAATAGATTATATTGTTTGTGGTCATTTTAACATTTTTTGCTGACTTTTAATTCAGTTGTTTTGGTATCACTTTAAATAAGGGTCCCTTTATTACGTTACTTGCTGCATTATTAAGCATTAGTAAACAAAGGGTTCCTTTATTAATGTTACCGTTATTATTTGTGTCCATACGGAGCAAGTCGCCCCCAAATCAACTTTTTTTCTAAGAAACTAAATGCATGTCTAATCATGCTGCAGACACATGTAGTCAATGGTATTGCACTTTAGTGCATTTTAGTTAAAATTTCAATTTTCTGCCTAAAACTGTCAGTGTTGTGCCATGGTCAGGTAAAAACTCTGCACTGCAGCTGAATTTAAATCTGCCATCGCTATTGGCTAAGAGGTACCCTAGAACGTTAGCTGGTGCATTATGATGTCACAATGTCATTGTGAGATTGTGTGTATGTATTTGCTAGTGGCTCCGCCCTCTCGGTTTGCTAGGCAACAGCACGTGTTGCATTTTTCAAACAGGACATGAGAGTGGAGTTAGACTCTGGTGGGCGTGACTTGTTCTTTAAGGTTGGGACAAAAGGCTAGGGGGCGTCTACTTAGTAATGAATTACATAACATGGTTAAGCAGTTATTAATACTGTTTTAAAGGGGCCATAACATGAAAAATCCACTTTTCTTTTTACCATGAGATATTGTTATTTCCTCATGAAAACAACCTCCAAACACGTTTTGGCTGCATTCATGCATTCTCCTGTCAGCTGCAAGTTTTGAGTTTTACTTGAGAAATTCTGATAATGCCTGAATGAAAACTTCTTGCATCACCAGGCAGATCTCAGTTCCGACGCCTGGATATTTTGTGGATATTCTGACAAATTACTTCTGCACTGGGGACATATCACCTTCTTAAAACCATGTGTCCTGTCCACAAAGACTCGTGTCGAGGCCAGTACAGGATATGTGTGTTAGGTGACTGTTTTTGTAACAGACTTGGGAGTCCAGTGGTTAGAGTGCCAGACTGGCTTGTAGTTTTGGCAGGCTTACCTTCAGGTCGCAGCAGAATCTTTATTTTATTCTTTTTTTAGCCACACTTAAAACTATTTTGTTTTCAACCCTTTATTGGTAAACAGTTTAAAACATAAGGACTTTCTTTTTATTTATTTATTCTTTTAAGCCAGTGTGAGTCCATATGAGGTGAGCAGAGTAAATCAACTAAAATGCTGCTTGGACATGAACAAATTCAAAGACCTTTAGAGACACAAAAACGTTTGTAGAAAATAAAACTAAAATATAAAATGATGAAATCGTCTTCAGCTGGCTAAATAAATTACTGTCTGCACTACTTGGAGTCAAACCAACATCAGCAGTGCAAGATGAAAGGCAATAACTTTACCCACTGGAGTATCAAGGACCATCAGCAGGCTAGCCTAAGATGCTATGTGTTTGTTGGATTCGGGGTGGGGGTGGGCGTTTATACTGAATCAACCATTTCATTTCCTGGTGTAAATTCAGGCTGACAAAAAAACCCTCATATTTCAAATAAAATGCATCTCAATAGTGCCAACGGTGATATTTTATCACAAAATGTGTCTACCTTTGTGCTCAAAAGTATAAAATCGCATGATATGGCACCTTTAACAGTTTATTAATCCTTAGTAATGCACCAAGTAATGGTCATAAAGGGACCTTTATCGTTACCATTGATTCAAATAAATACTTTCTATTTATTCCTATCTCAAAGTTAGGGAAAGGTTATGTTATCCTGGTAGGCTTGCTGCTGGTTTAGAGTTCGTATCATTTTGTTGTAGGAACCTTTGGTAACCTGGTGAATGCCAAGATGGTTATCCATGCATTTATTTAATCTCACATTGATGGTAGAAACTCTGGTGCCTGCTTCGCCTTATAGCCCCCCCTGAACGGTCTGCAACTTGTCCAAAATTCAGCTGCTAAGCTTTCGACTATCCTCCAGTGGCTCCCATGTTGCATCTTTCAGTGCTGATTTCCTGTTCAGTAGAGTTCAGTGTAAGGCGCAGGTCCAGAATTTTGAGTTGGGGATGCTGCTTGATACATTTCTGATATTCCCAGGATTTTGAAAACATCACAACAGGGAATGCCAGTCCTTGCAGGTCAAACAGGAAGCTCTTTGCCTCATTTTGTGGATTTTAACTAGTTTTGTTACATTTGTTTTATTTTAACTAGATCAATAGGGACATGTTTTTATAGTGAAGCACACTGTTGTTGTATCTTGACAGGAGCTGGACACATTTGTATTCAAATCTTAATTTAGATGCTGTTGGTTTTCCTTCTTGTTGGGTTGTTTGAAATATTGTGTATCATTTATTTATTGACTTTTTTGTTTACAATTTGTATGTGTGTATGCTTTCCCTGAACCACTGCCATTCTTATAAACGCCCCTGTCGCGCGACAGACTCCTTTAATTCAAATCACTCTCAATTTCTCAGAACAGCTTCTGTTTCGTGAGTGAGAGCTGTCCAAGGTGCTGCAGCGGCGCGCGCCCCCGCCTATCTTCTCTCTCTCTCTCTCTCTCTCTCTCTCTCTCTCTCTCTCTCTCTCTCTCTCTCTCTCTCTCTCTCTCTCTCTCTCTCTCTCTCTCTCTCTCTCTCTCTCTCTCTCTGTCTTTCTCACACACACACACTTATACGTTCTCACACTTTCTCTCCCTCGTGACCACGTGACTCGCCCTCTGCCGAGTTTGCCGCGAGAGCATCAGACTGCACCTTTTCCTCCTCAGGAAGACGGGGGGAGAGAGAGGGGGGACAGAGAGACACCAGGGCAGACAGAGAGAGTGAGCTCGAGAGAGAAACAGCACATTGTCGCCTTCAGGTGAACCGGTTCTGTTTGCCCACCAGGCGCGAGGCTGCTCCCTCTGCTCTTTCCTGGAGTCAAGATTCATCTTAAATGGGAAGGGAAGTCGATGAGCCGTGCGCCGCACTGCTGCCCCGAACCTCAGGATGCGCGCGAGGTAGGTTTCCATTCTTCTTTGATACAAAGCATGTTTTTGTTTACCGGAACGAGGTATTCGCGTTCTGTCTGACAAATTTAACTGCTGCTTTAAAAAACTCTATGGCTAATCGGTATTTATGGCTCAGATCGAGCACAGGTGATACTAAATCCCCCTCGCGACTGCTAGGTAGGAAAAACAGAGAAGACGTACGGCAGCTTATTTAGAATCGATAATTAAGCCGCATTCATTTTCTCTGTTTATCAATAACCGGGATGCAGCCGCTTTTCGCCTTTCAAACACTCAAGAATATTTGTGTGTGGCTCATATTCGTTAGTGAGTGTTACCTCTCTCTCTCTCTCTCTCTCTCTCTCTCTCTCTCTCTCTCTCTCTCTCTCTCTCTCTCTCTCTCTCTCTCTCTCTCTCTCTCTCTCTGTGTGTGTGTGTGTGTGTGTGTGTGTGTGTGTGTGTGTGTGTGTGTGTGTGTGTGTGTGTGTGTGTGTGTGTGTGTGTGTGTGTGTGTGTGTGTTAGAAATGAGCACCGGAGCCGTTAATTCGATAAAACGAGGCTGTTTGAGTCATCCGCCGCAACGCGGCTCCCGTTATTTGTGATAGGCTAGCTAACAGAAAGCATTCACAATAGCGCGAGACACGCTATTAAATTAAATTTAAATATGTTAAACTGAAAGGCAAGAGTCACCGAATCAAGCTGGTCGTGAGTTTTAGATTATGAGCAGGTATGCCACCTGAAATCCTCCTGCGGCATTATGGGGGCTCTGTTGTGGAGGTGCTGTCTGTGCGCGCGCCAGATTATATTGTGTTTCTTTTAGGCCTTTGCTATCTGGGCTGAAAGGGAAAAAAAACAATTGATTACGTTTTATCATCAGTTTTTGTTTAGTCTTCTCATTAACATAAACTTCTAAGTTACAGTGTTTGTGCGTGCGTGCGTATGTGAGAGCGAGAGCGCATGGATGAATGTTTCTGCAGAAAATTAATGAGAATGAGTAATTTGAGAATAATATGTGTGAGTTTGTGTATATAATTAATGTATGGGCCTGTGTGTGTGTGTGTGTGTGTGTGTGTGTGTGTGTGTGTGTGTGTGTGTGTGTGTGTGTGTGTGTGTGTGTGTGTGTGTGTGTGTGTGTGTGTGTGTGTGTGTGTGTGTGTGTGTGTGTGTGTTGACCCTGCTTGATTGTGCCATCTCTGTTCTCTCTGTAGGTCACGGGAGAGAGTGATGACGTGACAGTGAGGGACACACATACCTCAACAGCTTGCTTTTTCACATACACACACACACATACACACACACACACACACAGACATATTTACCCACACACTTTGTCTTGCCCCACTAAGTCAGGAAGGAGGGGGAGAAAATTCTGCTATGACGGTGTCATTTCTCTCCATTATAGGTGTGTGAGCTGTACACACACACACACTCACACACATACACTCAAACTCCATTGGGAGTTGCCTGCATGGCGGAAAAGGCCCTATCTAGGACACGAAGATGGAGTTTGCATCGTATTTGTCTCACATCTAACAAAGACGAGCAAGTACACATAACTGGAAACTGATGTCTGAAGTAAGGAATGGAAGGCTGAAAGGAGAGGAGATGCTGAACGCCAGACAAGCACCAAGATAAGGCGGAAGAAGATGTTCAAAGAGTGCTGAGAGGACGGAGGTTGCTGCTGCCTGACCCCCACCCCCATCCCTAGAGTTCCAGCAACACTTCCCTTACAGAAGGCACTGCAAAGTTCCCCAGAGACACCTGTAACGTGTTCCACGAAGCGTCCTACAGTTGTCATCATGAGCTGTAGGCTGGAGGGAACACCCCAGCTCTAGCCTCTATCTTCTTTTGTGTGTGAGTGTGAGAGCGAGTGTGTGTATGAGTGTGATGGCAGTTTGCGTTTGGGCGGCAGCCCCCCTGCTCTTCCTGGGGCTGTGCCTGTGCAGTGTAGGGGGCCAGGCCCAAGGAGAGGTCCTGGAGTTTGGGGGCGTATCCAGTCAGTGGGGGCGGTTTCCAGTGTGGAATGCCTGCTGCGAGAGTGTGCTGAGTTTCAGCCTGCGGACTCACAGCCAGGAGGGCCTGCTGCTCTACCTGGATGATGAGGGATTCTGCGACTTCCTGGAGCTGCTGCTTCTCCATGGCCACCTTCGCCTACGCTTCTCCATCTTCTGTGCTGAGCCAGCCGAGCTGCAGTCAGGCGTGGCGGTAAATGATGGACGATGGCACGCTGTGCGTGTCAAGCGGGACTGGAGGAACACCTCATTGGAGGTGGACGGGCGACTGGAAGGGTGGGCGGAAGTGAAGAGTAAGAGAAGAGACATGACGGTTTTCAGTCACACATACATAGGCGGATTATCACCGGACCTCCACTCCTCGCCCCTACGCCTCACCTCACCTTCAGTGCGGGAACACGCCGCCTTCCGTGGCTGGATCACGGCAGTGAGCATCAATGGCTCACTGGTGGCGCTGGACAGCTCAGAGGGCATCACGGTAACAGCTGGTTGCGGGCCAGACCACCAGTGCCAGAATGGAGGGGTGTGCAGCGTGGTGAACGACCAGGCCGTTTGCGACTGCTCCGACACCGGTTTCCAAGGCAATGACTGCAGTGAAGGTAAGGTCTAAAACCATGCTGACCCATCATAAACATCTCATCCTTTACACTTACTGACACCTTGAAACGCACACACACACACACACACACACACACACACACACACACACACACACACACACACACACACACACACACACACACACGCACACACACACACACACGTTTATCCACATTCCTTTGGCTCTATGATAGAAACATACTTTTCATTCACACCTTTGCAGCGCTCTTCATTTGACCAGCGGCCTTCACACAAAGTGCAAAGCAGGCATAATGCTTATGCTTAGTATTGATTATCTTGTTTTCAAATGAGCCCTAGCCTTTTATGTTCGCCTAAAGCCCAGATATACCCCCCCAAGCCTGGATACAACACTGGAGCTTAGCTTTTGAAATCAAGGAAGCTTGGGGGTCATTGAACTGGAAACAAATTCCTGAAACTTATTGGAAGGTGTTGCCTGCCTGGCAAGCTTTGAAGGGCTCTGTTGGTGTATTTGGCAGAACACAATAACCATATAGATCCATTATGGATGGGGTACCTGGCTTGTGTTGAGAAAGTCTAATAAGAAGGAGGCTGGAAATCAGTGGTTGTTACATGGGTGACACCTGGCTGCCCGTATTAATGGATTCTGATTGATTCTAGATGGCCTTCAGAGCTGCAGCTTTTGCATAGGGTGCTGAAATGATGAGTGTGGATCTATCAGCAGCCATTAATTTCAACAGCCTCGAGCCTTTTAAGATGCTCTGTTGGTGTCTTTGTGACTTTGAATGGAGTGTGTTACTTTGCCAGTGCTCTTTTGAATTAGGTTGAAGAATTGCAGTTGTGAGAATGTGCTTATAAAACCAAAACGCTCCATCCACCCTCGCCACACTAGCATCTTGGTCAGGGCTTGTGCCAACAGGCAGGTCACTGTAGTTATTACAAAAGCAAAGCAGTAGTTCGATGACAGATCTTGTTATGGCTCACACTGCAAATGCTTTCACTGCTACATTGTGCGTGTCGTCAGATTTGCATGAGTTCAACCAGAGAAAATCTGCATACTCAATCAATATCTCTCTAATCTGCTGAACGCCGCAGCTTCGGCTGAGCAATTGCATTTTTATTTTTATGACACGGATGCATCAGCCCAAAATGAATTGACGTAAGCCAGGTGGTCGTTTGGCACAAAAAGAAATGATCTTAAGCTCCACCCAGCACCACCAACAGCAGCCCACACGTCCCTTTGGCCACCCTCATCACACTTTTGCATTAAGTGGACAGTGGGATGGTCTTTGTTACCATGGAGACATGACTAATACCAAGACCTCATGCTAGGAGTGTTTCTTCATCATCGTTCTTCCTGCGCCCCTCAGCTTCTGTCCTCACTACCTGCAGCTTAATCTCAGTTCTTAGTGACATCATATCTGCCACCTAAATCTGCTTTTCCAAAAAGAAAAGAGCCATCCGTGGTGCTAGCGTTGCTGTAGTGCACAATGTAAAGGCATCAGTCTTCACAGAGCAGCTACAGCATGCCTGCTGGTGCATTGTGTTCACACGTGCTGAAATAATTAATCTATTGAGAGAGAATTAATAAATCATGTTACAACAATTAGTCAACTAGTTCTTCAGTAGGAAATTAATCTTAAAGTAGCTTGATTAATAAATGGTCCAAAAAGATGTTATTGATTACTTTATCTTAGATTTAGAATTTTCAATCCATGTTTCTGCCACTTATGATTTTAAGTCAAATTTGAGCCACCATACAAAGATGGGATCTATCCTAGGCTGTATGAAAATATCACGAGGATTGATTAATCACACAAACTCTATCGGTTTCAGCCTTACAACCTAAAGGATCTATTTATATTGCAAATATATAAAGCAATTGTTTGCTTTAGCTAAAGCTTGTATAAAGGTGCAAACTAAATGTATTAGATTATTTTGTACAGTTAATCTAGTCAGATTGCATTTAGAAAAGAGAGGCTTTTGTTCTAGTACTAATAGCGTCTGCTGATGTCCTATTATTGTACAGCTCTGAGTTGCTGATATGATTTTTTTTTTCTTTTGATTTATCCCGAAGAACTATAAACAACAGAAGTCCTTTTCCTTTTTTTAAATTTATCATACCTTCAAAGTTATGTTTCTGGAATAAAACCTTCCACTGATCTGCTGTTGCTTGTGTGAATTAGCTTTTAATGATGGCGAATCCTTTAACCGGGAAAAATGTTGAATTTTCTTCATTGCTGCTTGCTAATCTTCGCATCTTTATTTTAAAGCTGAATATTGACAATATTGTTCTTTTTTCAGACTATTTATAGCTGGTAAAACAGAGAAAATAGTCACTAGTACTAAACATGCTGTCATCATCGCATGCCATCGATGCCCATAGGTTTTGTGTAAGTACAGAAAGTGACAAGTTAAGCTCTGCAGAGACTCCGAGCTGTGCTGAGAATTACAGTTTATCTGATCCAGGCCAGTCTAATCCAGTCTGCTGTTGTGCTGGTGTTTAGTGCACATAGGGAGACACAAACAGCAGTGTTCCGGACATACCTGCACACAGAATCACATGCAGAAACATATTCACGAGATGTACAACCTCCTGGACTCGTTACTCACATCAGTGCTCAGTTACCTGACAGCAGGGCGGCTTTTCAAGCTAAATAAGAGAAGCAGTCATTTTTCATAACGGCTCTCGGTAAATTCATTGCCTGCATTGCACTGGCACTTGTCACTCAACAAGAATCTGCTCTTCTTTTTTTTTTTTTTGAAGTGGAAGATATATATTCCTGGAAATGGGCTCATGTAGTCATGAGTGTTTTAGACAATTCATGTAACCAACCGAATCTACTGCAACTCCTTGAGCCAAGAGGTCTCCTCGGAATGATGTCCAAAGGTTGGAGATGGAGATGGATGTTCTGTGTGGTTTGTAAATATTAATTCAAGTTACTTACTTACTAATAGTGAAAGTACAGTGACTCAGGAACATTAGCTCAGGAAAAAGGACCGATGAGCTTTTCAGAGCCATTTAACAAAAAGATAAACCTTAAAGAACAAGGGTGCAATATTGTCTTCAGAGAATTTCCACTTCCTCTGGACTTCTCTGATTCATGTTTCTCATTGTCTCTAAATTGTTTATAGATACAGATAGCTCTGAGAGGAGAACTTAGCCGATGATGTATTTGAGTTGTTTGCTAGAATTGTGCTTTAAAGTGCTTTTTGTGGCCTGAAATGTTTTTTAATCTGGCCCTGTGCACCATTGTTCATTCTGGTCAGCTGAGACGCTGCCTCAGTGGTATTACCTTTAGCCACAGGGTCTTTAGGTGGAGCGAGTATCTACATCAGCACTGGTGAATAACTAGCACCATCAAAGGAGTCTCAGCTCAGGCACACTGAAACGTTTTCAAGAAGTATTTCAAGGTTATAGCTGAAAGATGAAGCAGATGGCAAAGATAAAAAGGAACAAAGGCCCTGATTTGAAATTAAAACCGGAATTATTTTGGCTGCTGCAATGCTTTGAGATCAAATTTTTTATTCCTCTGAAAATCAAGGAAAATAAATGTTATTAATTTTTAATTCAGAGTTAAAACTATGGGTCCTCCAGACTGCGTTGAAAACTAGAAATGCATAATTTCACTCCTAGGTTCTGTGCATTCACGCCCTTTGACTACATGTTTAAAACTCCCTGTTGATCCGTTTTTATTTGTGCTCATTGTTCTGCAGACTTGAGACTATCAATACAAATATAGTGAAAGTGACATTTACGGTTTCCTCCCGAAAGACTGCAGTGTATTACATATTTCATGAGGCACTACTTATCAGGTTTCTACGTTGAAGCACATCCGTGTGTCCGTTTTGGAGATATAATAAAGCTTCAGACATTGAACATTCTTAGATGCAGCATGTGAAGGCGTTTGAGCAGGTCTATGCATAAATGTAATTACTGTTGGAGGCTTTTTGCCCTGCAGTGAGAGCAGAAAGGACCATGGCTTGTTAAGCCTGGCCTGGCTTGCATTGTCCTTGAGGGCAAACCGCTGTTAGCATGCTAATGGCCCCACCTGTTTCTGCCATGCCACTATCGCAAGGGCAGAGGCAAGGAAACACACAGATGACCACACCTCTACACACACACACACACACACACACACACACACACACACAAATACACACACACAAACAAAGCACTGAATCACAGAATCATGCATGCCTCTCATCCTTTTGCACTGCTAATCCATCCCTACATGTTTACCCTGCTATTTCACATCATTATTACTGCCATGGTCGATGTTAGTATGTTTGTGTGAGATTCAGAGTGTGTAGGAGAGATTGTGACAGAGAAGGTCTGAGTTTGTGTGTGTGTGTGTGTGTGTGTGTGTGTGTGTGTGTGTGTGTGTGTGTGTGTGTGTGTGTGTGTGTTTGTGTGTGTGTGTGTGTGTGTGTGTGTGTGTGTGTGTGTGTGTGTGTGTGTGTGTGTGTGTGCGCGCGCGCATGCGTGTGTGCGTGCGCGCGCGCGTGCGCTGCATGTTATGTGCCGGGGGTGCTCTGGGGAGAAGAAGCAGCTACAAGGTAAGTTGTGGGCTAAACGGCTCTTGAATCCAAACCTACAGGTAGGATTGTCTATTAACACAAACAACCCCCTCCTCT